GGAGAAACCAGAAAAGGTTTTGTCCATCTGGAATGACATGGACGCAAAGGAACCCCCGAGGTTCCACCGCAGAGGCCCAGACCTCAAAAACCTCAGCCAGGATGGATTAAAACACCTCTAAATGTTGGAAACTGTTTTATACCCTAAAGCTCAGTTTAACCTGTGAGGTTTTATTACTAACTGTAATAAAGAATCTAGAATTAAAAAATGTCTGTTTTTCTTTCTGCAAGCTTTGGATTTGACATTAAACATCACTTTTACGCAGATCTAAGTGGAGGCTGCATGACTTCTTCAACCTGTTTATTTTTTTCTGCAGAAACAAAAACATTGGCACTGGCTGAATCAAAAAGAAAAAAAAATTCCCAAAAATGATAACTAAAGCACAGAGTAAAGCCTCAGTGTCGAGCTGCGCCCTTGATGAAAGACATAATTATGCTTCTGCTTTTCTTTGCACCAGTTTGTGACAAATTTACCTCAAATGACCATGTAAGATGTGCAGAGAGAGGCAGGACGCCACCCTGCAAAAATGTTAAAAGAGCAGCCACTCTGTTATCGTCTAGTCACAGCTTTTACGAGTCTTTGTATAGCTCTGCTAAAAAAAATAAACTAATTTAAAAAAAAGTTTGGGGGGGCCCTAAAATTGTTTGCGGCTTCAATCTTTGTATCTGACGTCATGAGAAATGTTGAAGGTTTCGCTGGAACTCTCTGCTTTCTATTATATTTTATTTATTTCTACCTTTTTTATATATTTTTTTGGGACCACAGTTTGCCTTTCAGCCTGGTCTGGGTTTGATAAAGCGAAGCCGCAGCGTCTGATCTGAAACTACTCAAAGACACAAAAGCAAAGCGGGCCGAAACATTCGCACGGTGTCTCATCGCAGAGCATTGTGTGCAGGAATGCAAAACCACAAACCAACCTGTTTCCATTTAAAGCCCCCGCCACCATGAACTCAACACAACTAGTGTGCACAGAAACACACACACACACACACACACACACACACACACACACACACACACACACATACACACACACACACAGGTTGGACAGACACATGAAAGGGAACCCCCCATGAAGAAACCTATATATACTGCGCAGAAGCTTTAAACCTCTTCCTAATTATCACTTGCTGCCAAAGGTGAAAGGCGACTTATCCCGGCTCTACGAGTGCATGTGTGTGTTCGTTTTGTCTGCCATGTTAGCAAAATATCTCATGAACCAGTAGATGGATTTTCAAAAGTTAATCATTGTATTAACTTCTCTAAATAAATAAAGCTTTGATTTAACCCCACTGAAAATGGCCTTCACAGTTTAGCAATCTTAGCAAACACACAAAAATAAAAGCTCACTTCATTTTACAGATACTGAGCTCAAATTTCTCATGACAGCGGCTGTGAGTCGTTCACACACAGTCTGAGAACTAACTTATGGTGCCTTTTAAGCCGGGACTACGATGAATTAACTGTCTGTCACAAAAAACATAATAAACCTCTGGATTCATTTAAGAAATTTTCAGAAAGTAATCATCGAATGCACATCCACAACTGATAAGCCAAAACAAAAATGATTCAATGCAGTCGTCTGATTTCTTTGCTCCCAAGGTGTTCGATTTCTAGTAATCCTCTTAAGACTTTCTGAACGTCTATTAAATTTATTTATGGGGCTTTGGTTAATTTTCTGGTTGCTTTTTCACTCCTTTTCTATCCATCTGTCCTACCTGTCTATGACAACATTATATACTGTGTGTCTTTAAAAGTGAGGAAAGCAGAAGATGATAAGGCATGTTAAAGAAATTACTTACAGATGAACTAGGTTTTTATTAAAGGGGGGGGACAGAAAAAAGCTGACAGAGTCCGAGAGATGGATCACCCTCCAGTTGATCAGTTCTTGGTGCTAAAATACAAGTTTTGAATAGATTTGCCTAGAAAATTGTGTCTTTGTGGTAACAAATTGGCTGAAATATGTTCTTTGCAAAGTTAAACACTAGCTCATTTCTTTAGGTTAGACACCGTTTTATTGCTGAATAATTCACAGGTCATAGAAAAGCAGCTTTACAAAAGAACAAAATCAAACATGCCTCTGAAAACTGTCAGATAATGAGCTGAAAATGGAGTCAAAATAAAAAAAATAAATAAATAAGAAAAAGAAATCTAGAACAACTACTGGTCAGGATCACTTGATGCAACTTTTTGCGTTCGTTTTTGTCTTTTTTCCTTTATTTAATCATTTTTTGGCTTTGCTGTTGGGGAGTTTCATGCTAAGAAAAAAGAAAGCCTGATCTGAAGAACTGGCATACGCTGTGGTAATGCAGACCAGAGGGTTTCTAAAAGCACACACACTAACCAAAACATCCTGGCACCAATAGTTAGGTTCGAAGTTATTATTAGTGTCTGGGGGTAGTGTGTGTGTGTGTGTGTGTGTGCGTGTTTCTCTGAGTGTGCACTGCCAAACTACAGTAAGGGTTTTCCCCGTGACGAGAGGCAGTCGATAAAACGGCGGCGCCCTGTTTTCTTGCAGCTCACGTAAAGAAACAAGTGTAGAAACGTAAAACTGCTAAACCTGCAGAAAAGATTTCCTAAAGTCTGCTCGCACAGATACATTTGTCTTTTTTATCCAAAATATAAAAATGTCATCGGCCGTGTTGATTTTGGCTCGTCTCCACGCAGGTCTGCAGTTTGGGCCCTCAGGAGGACACGGAGCATGTGTGGGTGGGGGTGATTGAGGGGCCGAAGTAAAATGTTAAGCTTGGACAGAAAACATAACAAAAAGATTCATTTTTTCCCCCCATCTTTTTTTTTAAACAAAGTGCTGCTGTGCCCCGCGGGCTCGGAGCTAGAGTGTTGTTTTTTGTTCTCCGTGCGCCCTCGTAGTTCCACGTTTAAATAAATATACAGAAGAAGAAAAAGGAAAGATGGAGGGCGGGTGACGAGGAAAGACTGAGACGTGAAAAAGACAGAAATGGGCTACTTCTATTATTTTTATTTTTATTTTTTTAGTTTTGAGGATGCAGGAAAGAGAAGATGAAGAGGACGGGAAGATGGGATGAATATCTTCCTCCTCCTCCTCCCTCTGTGATGCCTCTTCATCCACACTTTCTCTCCTTTCACATGGTCTTTGTTACTCCTGCTGCTAACCAGTGAAAACCCGCCTCCAACCCTCTCCTTCACTGCAGTTCAGTCAGCACCTCTCCTCTGACACAAAGTAAGTTTATTAGAAGCAGGTTTGTGTGTGTGTGTGTGCGTGTGTGTGTGTGTGTGTGTGTGTGTGTGTGTGTGTG